GCAAGCAGACAGATAATAGTAACAACCTGCAGTCTTTCAGTCGGAGTTGAAAATTCCTGCGGCAACAACATCCATGTAAAAATACAGACTTATTTCACACACCCATGGTTCAAACCCCTCCCACTCTCAGTTCAAACTCCACCCACAAATTATCTGCACATTCAAACTTCACTTTCAGCTTTAAGTAACCAAATCCCAACCCTAGGCGTTAGGGCTGGGTGATTAATCGAAAATTAAATGAAATCGACATTCAGAACCTATAATTAATGTAATTTTTCTAGGTCGATTTTTTACGTTACTTTACGTACCGCGTGTGAAGTCAAATGACCCCCTTCTGTTTATACTTCTGCATTGACCACATGCATATGGTCTGGCAAAGCCTTCATCCAGTCACATACCCATGATTGGTCAGCTTGATAATGGTGACGAGTGAGGAGGCACAAACCTGTTGGAGTTAGTGTTTTATTGGGGGTTTATAAATGTGGTGTCCCATGGAGGAGCTCCAGTTGGAAAATTTGGTTTGTGTGTAATTTATTCATAAAGTTGTTGCACGTCCGCTGGCTCAGCTAATGCTCATTTATGCTTCTGCGACCACTGATCTCTGGTTAAGTAGGATGATGGACCTATTCTTGAGCTTAACTTTAGAGCAGCTTCCAATCATCATCAATGTAGAGCAGAGATGCCTTGAGACGGCCTATTTTCTATTACATTAATATATTACATCAATATTATTATTTACGTTAAAATAACCGTTTACAGAAGATTCAAGAAATGCACTGCTTAAAATATTATTTACAGGATCTAAAAGAGGTCTTTTATTTAGACGTTATTTTCTGTTTTTAATACGAAAAACATTTAAAATAATTTACATTGTTTCCAAAAATGTAAGTTATTTATTTTCATTATTTAATTATTTATAACCTTTTATTTAGCATAGCAGCATAATCAATACAATATTTCAGCTTAAAAAGGCATAGATTTACACTGCCAATTATTTCACTTTTTTATATAATATAGAAAGTAGCAAAACACAACAAAAAATTAAACAAAGTAAATAATAACAATAACAATGAAAAAATATGAACAACATCAATAACAAAATTTACACAATTCAGAGAGGTTTAAACACACAACTATTAGTCAAACTGCATATTTAATAATAATAAATCTTTGTTCTTAGTCTGAAGAGGAGACTGTGAGAGAAGGCTGATAATTAAATTAGAAAGTGCGTCTGGATAGAGTAACCTTACATATTCAGTCCATTTGGCCCAGATATTTCTAAATACATTAATTTGTGTTTTATCTTTTTTGTTAGAAAAAAAAAGTGACTGTTTGGTTTTAGGCAATGTGTGTTTTAATTTCAGTTGTTCAACATTGATTATCAGCAAATAATCATAGATAGTAGGTAGTGTGTGTTTCCTTCAGTTACTTTAAAATCAAGTAATGCACCTTAATCAGAAATCTCTCACTTGTAATGTGCAAGCATATGTACTGTACAAAACCTGTCAGTGAACTATAAGGGCAAAAAAATTGAATAATCGTTCATTAATCTTTATCGAGTTAAAATGTTCAATTAATTGAGATTTTGATTTTGAATCATACATTGCGTACATCTCTTTATTTTGGATCTTTTCCCTACAAACCCTCTACTTTATCCTGCTGCATAACCCAGGTAGAAAAAACTGAATACTTCAAATGTCCGTCTTTATATAATGTGGTCATCCTTGATAACGCCATGTGACTGCAGCAAGCTATGAAAGCTCTGAAATGTCCGACTTAACAGTTCCATTTTTAGCTCCGCCCTTGTGCCTGGCTAATCTCATTAGCCGTGTCTCCATCCACATATTTTTATGTACATTTTGAAATAATTGCATAAAAACACAAGAGGCTCAAATATTTTGAAAATGTGCATTAAAACATATGCGAAATACGAGCAGGGTAAACTTTTTATATGAAGTCCATAAACTAAAATGGAAACATATTTACTGAATAAACATCAAATGTGTTGATTGAAAATGTGTGATCATGTGATGATAAAAATAGCTCACAGTAGCATCTCCTACTGCAGCAAATTCCATTTTTCTGTTTGACATCTGTCACCAGTTTTTCAGGAAGTAAGCATTATTTGCTCTTTTGATGCAACTAGTGCCTTATTTGCTAATTTTCTTTATGCAATATTCCAGGTTTGCGCACAAATCTAATTTAAAATCCACCTCCAGCATTAGCCATACAATCAAACTCACACAAATTCTATCCGCACCACACCATAAGCCAAACATTCCCACCCTTGTTTCAGCTCAACCACTTAAACATTCAGTAAGCCTCACCATCTAAAACTCCACCCACACTACAGCACCACCCTCAACCTTAGACCCACAGTCAAACTTTAAACATTTGGTGTTTGATTGTTATGCATCACTGCATCTGCATAAGCCACACACTAAAATGCCTAGGCCTGTCACAATCATCAATATACTGTATTGACTCATTGCACAACACATGGACATAACCTCAATCATGTTTTGTGATCTGATATATAGATCGCCCATACATAAAAAACAACTCTAGCTGATAGTGAAACATGAGGTGTCAGTGTCAGTATAGTTAAAAATAAAAACACTATAATATTTACTATGGCTGCAACTAACGATTATTTTAAAAAATGATTAATCCGTCGAATATTTTGTCGATTAATCAATGAATCCAATTTTTTTAAAGAAAAAAGAAAAAGCATTCATTTCCAACCATTTCCAAACAGAACTAAAATCTTTAGAAAGTTCACAAACATGTTATACTTAAATATTCCTGAGTTGTTATAATAATAAAATTTTAAAAATTAAAAATTAAAAACTTACTTGGTAGTTTTGTCCTGTTTTCAGTCCAAATATAAAAAAAATTATATCAAAATACATACTAAACACATGAAATAGCATAACATATTATGTCTTGTTTTCTGAAAAACAAAAAATAAAAAAAAATTAAAAATTAAGTGATTGTTTGCCTTAAACAAGCAAAAATTATTTGCCGATGAGGTAAGAAAAGTAATCTTCATGAGATTTAATCTCAATTTAAGCATCACTTCATTTTCTCATGCCATTTTTCTAGTCTGGTCTTGATTTAAGATTTTTTTTTTTTAGATATTTGGACGGGAAACGAGACGAAATTACCAAGTAAGAAAAGCTTTTTTGCAGTGCAGTTATACATGACAACAGATGGAAAAATGAATGATCCAAAAAAGGCAAGTGAATAAAAATGTGTCTTTAGTCTTGCAATGCAAAGTGCAAAGTAACTCTACCACCGTTGAGTTAAAAACCAGGAGTGAGTTTTGTATCAAAATATTCACACACTTGCTCATGTCATCAACTACCTGATATCTAGTTCACAAAAACGTGTAAGTGATTGTTTTTGTTGTTTCAAAGATGTATAAATGATCTTGATCGTGATCAATAACGTGAGATGGGCATCACCATGTTTACTTGTGGCTGCGCGCATATCAGATTTATAAAAGCAGAACACGTAGAATCAGCATGTAAATTCATTAGTTAATCCCAAAATGCATGCAAGAAAGTGGCTGGCCAGCTGGGTGAAGAATAGATTTAACTTTATAGTTACTTTCACTACTCTATGTGTACCTGATATAAATAAAACACATCTGCAAATTATATTTGAAAGGATTGTTTGACTTCCATACACTATCTTGTGTGTTTTACAAACTCTAAATGTATTGTTTTCCTAGTACTTGTGTGTAGTTACATGTCTAACTCATAAAATAAGCATTGGGTTAAAAACACCGCATAATTGTGATAATGCAACACGTCTTTCTCTGGCTCAGCACCAGACAACGCTTCTAAGCTTAGTTTGAATTTTTCATGTCATGCTGCTTTTGTTTATTTTGGGTACTCCCACACCTCGGATGACTGAGGTGGCACAGATTTCTCTGCCTTCACCATGTACCTTTCCTCTAAAGTTATCACCGCTCATTTTTTTGCTCTGTCCTGTCTAAGAGGTGCCTCTGCTGGCATCAGTGCGCAAGGCACTGGCAGACTAAAGTTTTTTTAAATAATCAAACTCCGCGTCGCGCAACATGACGAATCAATTATGAAACTCGTTGAGAATGCTTTTAATAATCAATTTTATTCGATTCGTTGTAGCATCCCTAGTATTTAATATAAATTACTAGGTGTCTGACAACTGAAAATAGATCTGGTAGCAGATATCGCAGCCTCTGTTACTTTTTACCTTGCACTTTTATGTTAACATTTTTTATTTATTTGTTTAGGATATACGCTTTCACATTCTGATTTTAATGTCTAATTAATAAATTGTTAAAATGTCTATCAATAAAGTAAATATTTTTAAGAAAAACATGTGTTCTTTGAAAGAGAGTGCTTGCATTATGATGCTATTGTATTGTCCTTCTGGCATTATATAATGAGCAGCATAATATGGTCTTATCATTTATATTAATGTATATGTATTATGTATAATGTATTCAATACATTTTGGTGCAATAATATCGCCAAACAAAAATAGATATGGTGTCAGGCCTACAAATTCCACCCCAAATATTTAATCTCCACTCCCAACATTAGCCACACACACACACAATCTCAACTCAGAGACGCAAACCCCATCTCCAAAATTAACAACACTTAAAACTATTTAAACTACACTTACTAATTTAAGGCCCGCCTCCAGTATAAGACACACCCTCAAATCCCAACCCACTCATTTCAGCCGTGCCTCATAATCAATGTCAACTTCTTGGCAGTATATTTTTGGATATAAATAATTCAATCTACAGCTTGTACGTTTCAACATGACTGAACACAGCAACAACAGTTTCCTGAATCAACCACACCGCCTTCATACACCTGTGCCCTCATTTTCAGCGCTGCACTGGAACAAACGCATCCGCAGCAGACAGAAACCAGTCTGTGTTTGTCTGTGTGTGAAAAATCATAAGAATCTCCGTTAGGGAGCAACGTTCTGGTCCTTACCTTTCCGAACTGTTCAAAATACTGCTTCACATCTTCGACCACTGTGCTCGCTGATAATCCACCCACAAAGATTTTCTTTGTTCTTGTGACCATCTGATGAGAAAGAGAGAAACAAACATGAGCAAAGCATGTGAAAGCCTAGATTACAGAGACATCTGTCTGGATTATTGTCTTCATTAGTTTCATTAAATATACTGTGTCATTAAATAATCTGCATAAAGATTTTTTCTTTATCAATATTGACAAAAAAAGAGGAGGAGAAAGAGATGAATCATTAATTTGCTCAGGCTTTAGCAGCAAACATTAAGATTTACATTAAGAAAGAGAGCAAACAATTTTAGCAGACAGATGGTGGGAACGAGAAAGATAAACATACACAGTGAGAAAAGAACTGTGTATCAGTGTTTCCAGAACGACTATTCATCAGAATATAATGTGCCAACATTCAAATAAATAAGCCAGACAGCAAACAAATACATATTATATAATAACTCACACCAACAGATCTATTCAATGCTTCTGCTCATTAAAGATAGATGAAGTTTCATACTTTAAGCAGAGGTCAAAGGTTTGACGCTTGCGTTTTAAGATCATGTCTATCTGTAAACACACTCTAAAAGGACGCTTTAAATGAAAGCATGGTGATTCCAGGCTGATTTCACAGCTAATAATGCTGTTAAAAAACATTTTTTACTGATGCCACACACGTGTTTGGCACCATTAGTGCAGCCTTCCATTCAGTTAAACCCCTGACATGTTTACTTCAGCTCTGACACACGTCCAGATGCTTTTCAGCTCCAGTCGCACTTAAAAACAATAACAGAGGGAAAAAATCCTTCCTTTTCCCCTCAAAACTCAATTAAGGGACAGAGGGAAGGAGGGGGCCATTAAAACCTTGATTAATTCCCCAGCAGAGTAAATACAAAAGATTTCTACAGCGCACAAGGAGAGACGACAGGAGAAAGAGCTAAAGTGCACAGAGAGGGAGAGAGAGAAACGGAGAATTTAAATGTATTCCCTTTTAAGTAAGTGTATTGCCGAATAAAAATTGTGTAAAAAAAAGCTGGAGTTAGTTGAACTTCTTTATTTATTCACAATTAACACTAGAGTCATATTTTGGAGGTTTTTCTCGCTTTACCATACATCGAGAAACCATTACAAGCCCCTTTGATTCACCAACCTCACAAATTACTTGATTGAATATTATGGTGTATATATATATATATATATATATATATATTTTTTTTTTTTTTTTTTTTTTTTTTTTCCCACTTTGTCATTATGGAGTATTGTGTGTAGAATTTTAAAGAAATAATTCATTTAATTTATTTTGGAATAAGGCTGTAACTTAAAATGATGTGGAAAAAGTGAAGCGATATGAATACTATCCGGATGCACTGTAAATACTAGTACTAGTCGCTTTTTTTTTTTTTTAAGTCAGTTTAAATACAATTAAATAATCTATATCTAATGTATAAATAGTCTATTTTTGTCATACATATTAAATATTTAAAAGCTGACACTTATTACTTGTGCATGGACAATAAAAAATATTTTTTTGCAAATGATGCACTAAAAAAAAAGGATGCACAGAGATATATCCAGCTGCAGACCCACACACGTTTCAGGCCACACAATCAAGGCAAGGGTGAACCATAGATGGTTATTGATGGATCATCTTCTATCTTTTCTTGTTTAGCGGCGACTAACTCCTTAGGAGCGCTCTCGTCACCTACTATATTTCACATGGGGATCTAGACCAATGGTCCCCAACCTTTTCATCATCATAGACCAGTCAACACTTAATTGTACCGTCACGTTGCTGTCAGTCTGATACAAGTTTTATTCAAGGAGAAAATTACAAAGCACTGCAGTGTTTGAGTGTTCTATGTTTATATGTGATAATTAATCTACCTAAATGTGTATGTTCCATACAAAGTATGATGCTGAACGGTCAGCTCTTGTTATGCGACTCTTGATCTTCTTGGACAGACATGCTGGATTCACCTGATTTGTTGACAAAAGGGTTGACAATCCATGTCTTGGCAGTTGGTGGGTTCTTTCCTCTTTGCAAAGTAATGTTCAAAATGCGACTGTTTCTTGCTTATTTTGCTGCTTGTGGGTTAAATTTGGACGCTCAAGTCACCAAAATGTAAGCGAGAGAATAGTCATTTTTCAAAATAAAAGATTTTTCAAAATAAAAGATAATTCAGACTCAGATAATAAATAAAATGGAAATAATTAATGATTTCTTGAGTGGCCCGGTATAAATTTATCCATGAACGGTGGTTGAGGACACTGATCTAGACCGTCCATGCTACGATTGGCATCCATTAGACTGTGAACAGTTTAGGGTTTCCCATTACAATAATTGCTTCATTATTATATTGTAACGATGGTTTTAACATCTGTGCAGTTTTGCTATTCAAATTAGTTAATAAAAATAATTAATTAAAACACTTATGATTTTATTCAAGTATCCACATACACAAAGACAACATAACAGACCATCTAATTGTATGATTGACTGCAATAAACTAATTCAGGATCTTACTTCTGTCATATTTTAGTCGCCCGTCTTGATCGCCATATTTGTGAAATAGTATACATTTGTCTATTGTGTACAGTATTTATTAATTATAATATATATATATATATATATATATATATATATATATGATGACAAGGTCCAAGAAGACATTAATAACATTAAAATCTGTCGTAACCATGTATGGTTCGCCCCTGCCTAGATTGTGTGGCCTGCATTGTGTGTCCTGAAATGTACGTGGGTCTGCGGGTATTATTGTGCACATCTGCATTGTTACACATTGCTTCTGTGTACTTACTATAATAATTACAATTAATTATGTATAATTATATGCAACTAACCCTAAATAACTCATCTTCAAACCCTAACCATATAGTAAGTATGTGCCATTAGTAAATATCACTTATTAGGTAAATTGTTACTCTGGAAGGACACCGTAAAAGAACGTTTGAACAAATGTACAAATGGAGAGTGTACAGTGCGCTTCAGTAAACAAAACTACATTATTCATTCTTACAAATGCACTGATATACAAACCTCATATTTGAATGGTCTTTTTTGTTTAATATTCACAGTTGCTTGTATTTCAAGTGTACAGCACTACTATTTATTCATGTAAAAAATGTGCTAAATTCTGTCACATCCCGCCTTATATAAATTACATTTTTATGAATGGACACTGCGATTCCATCATTGTTTTCCATTTTGCAGAAGTCACAGTACCCTACTGATTTACATGTTACACACATCCAGAAACTGTCTGAAAAAGAGACCACTAAACTTCTAAATAGAGCTGCACAATACTGTATATCGTTTCAGCATTGATATCGCAATGTGCACATATACAATAGTCACATCGCAGGATCTGCAATCTTGAGCTATGATTACAGTTGACCAGAAGAAAAAGTTCAGAACATAGGAGCACTGTGTAGTTATTGCGGAGTTGAACCATAATGAAGTGAAAGTTTTTCATTTGCACTTGTTTTTAAGGCCTGACAGAGTTCAAAGTATTCAGGCACAAGACACTTTAGCTTATAACTTTGATAAAGATTTTTTTATTTATACAGTAAAGACATTTGCTGTATTATTTAGGTCTGATTATTAAAATGTTCTCCCCAAATACAACTTGACTGCCCCAAAAGCCATAAAACACCATTGTGATTTGCTTTATTGCATGATTTGTCATTGCTCTGCAGAATTATCCCAATCAATCTAAATTAATACATTTTCAAACAGTTTTCAAGTCACCTGGTCAAATTGTGTATATATACATATATCAGAAAAAGGGAAATACCGCAATGTCAGATTTTTCTAATATTGTGCAGACCTAACTCTGAATACTAAAATATAGTGCTGCATGAATAATTGTATCGCAATCACAATGTAAGCAACTGTGCGGTTACACGACGAGACAATGTTGGGATCATATTAAATAAATAATAACATAATTTCTGAGGACAGTTTTTTTTTTGGTTTCTGTGCTGCTAACAAAACAAACAAACATCTATATAACCGGATTAGTCCTTGGGCCCAGCAGCGATGTGCGGTTGTCATGAAGGCATGCACGCTCAGTCATAGCTGATGCTTAACTTCTTCCACAGTGTTAAGTGGCTGATCGCGATTTACAACCACGGGTGCTCCACACAAACTTCATAACCGTCAAATGATCTCCACCTAAATGCCCAATTCAGTCTTTAAGTGGCCCTTTTCTCACGATGCATGAACAGATTTGTTTTATAAAGGATTCCTGTCTGTGACACAGGCAGCTTGTTGCATGAAATCCTGACAGAGAGCGTTTGAGCTGCTGCTCTTCACCTAAACAGCGGTCTCTCCTCTCAGCAACAGAAGTGAAGCAGTTTTCCTGCGCTTGAGACCACATCTCTATTTATTAAAGTTTAAATGACCAATGCAATCAGTTAAACGGCTTAAAATATGATTTAAGTCAAGTTAAACTTTTTTTTTCCCCATTAAGCCATTACTGTTTGCTACATAAGAAAAAAAAACTACAATATATATTAATCATAATTGTGTTTAGGCAGAGAAAACATCATGTTTAAGCAAATTCTTTACCAGAACAAGACAAAAATACAAAAATAAGTATATATTAAAAAACAATACAAAGCTCTACATATAAAATATTGCTAAAACATTATTTTGAAACCATTTCTAGTTTTACAAATACAGATTTCTGCATTTTTACTGATCTGTGCGCGCATTTTCCTTAAAAACCCATCAAGCTGACTCAAGATATCATTTATAAATGTAATTGAATATCACAATATCGACCTCAATAATCACAATAAGACAATTATCCCAAATCATACATACTAAATTTTTTTTTTAAATTAAAAAAAAAAAGTGTATCCTTCTGTGATTGTGTACCCACCAACCAACACACACACCAATCAAGAGTGAAGATAATTCACAATGCACAGATGTGTTTGTCTATCAACCTGTGTATTTGCATGAGCACCGGGAGCTTATATTTGACACGCATTCTTGATGCAAATCAATCCAGTGGCCGGAGATCAGAGCCTAAGACAAC